CATCCACTGTTTCGTTTAGAATATTTTTTTTCTTGTTTTCCTCCTCTAAAAACTATATGCATGTTATGGTCGGGTGCGTGTTATAGAGCGAAAAATACGGTACTTTCCTAGTTGCCCTTTCTGTACTTCAGCAGTCTAATTTACTGCCGGCTTTTTGTTGTTGTTGTTGTTCAGAATATTTTCCATTATATTATGAAATCATAAATTATCCATATTAACCACAAATTATCCAAGTTATTGCAGATTATCTGCAAGTTGCTACTAAATTCCAATCTACCTTCTGCTCAGGTGTGCTCTAGAGCATAAAGCAGTTCAAGACAGATGCAGTGATTGCCTTTATGAACATGGGTCATTGGTCCATTGACCTCAATATTGTCTACACTGACCAGCAGCATCTCTCCAGGGTTTCAAACTGGAGACTTCCCCAGCCCTACCTGGAGATGCCAAGGGCAGAACCTGGTGGCAAAGCATGTGCCGTACCACTCTTCCCCTGTTTTTGTCTCCCTAGACGATAGTGAGCAGAGACTGAAGCATCCTCCATTGCGAATGTTCCAGCAGGTAAAGTGGCAGGGTGGGGGGGACTGTGTGCAGCTCCTCATATGTTTCATGGAGCACAGGACCTGTGCTGCTGCTGCTGCTTTCCCTGAGATCATGCCAGAAGGCAAATGGGTCACTTTGGCCCTTCAAGTATTGTTCAGTTCCATGAATGGCTCCTTTTACAAATGAGCTCTTGAGCTGCCCTAACCAAACTAGCTAGATATTTTTTTTTGGGGGGGGGTGTATATGCTAAAGGGACATCCAGTGGATGGGGGAGAAATCCATTCAAAACCAGGAGGCTTTCAGTACAGGTGACCCAATATGTTAGTTATTTTAATGATACTACATGTTAATAAAATAAAATGTAACAGAATCAAATGTTTTTAAATGCCTGCTGCTTGTTTTCAGTTTCCTTGCACTCATTGACTTAATGCAGCAAAATTGGCTTCCTTGTTCCTGAGCAACTGGGTATAATATTACTGTCCTTTCATCTATACAGTACACAGGACATAGTCCAGTGAGTGGTGCTGTCTTCTCCCCTTTACTGATTCTCATGGTCACCATATACCTCTTTTCTCAACATTTTTAAGTGGGTGTCCCTCACCATCATTTTTGCACCCCATTTAGTGTGTCATTTAAAAATTATGTTACTTGCACTATCACCATGGTGCAATTGCAGAAATCTGAAAACTGCAAAGTTTTTCCGAATATGGTTGGGTGATAGCTGTTGTAAGCAGCCAAGTTAATTGTACTTAGTTTCATTAAATAAATGAGACTTGAGTAATGATTAACTTGATCCCATGGAGTAATGATTGGGCCTAATTTCAACTATCTTCATTTTGATCCAGCGTTCACAGAATATCACAGATATTCACAGAATATGAGGTGCTGCTGGAGGAAAGGGGGAGGTGATTTTGACAGATTCCCCCTAAAGACCTCATGGCCACCTCTCCACACTATTTTGGAGGTCCCCTATCCTCCAGAGCCATTTTTTTTCCAGGGGGCAACAACAGAGAGGGGAATCAGCAAAAATCACCTCCCTCTGCTTCCTCCAGCTGGAGGAACTGTAAACCCTGTAAATAGAGTTCTGCTCATGGGAACTGTGGATCCAAGCAATTGTCTAAACCAAACCTGATTAAACTGCTGGTGAAAATGTCTAATGCGTAAGTAATGATCCATTGCTTGGGACTGCCTTTTTATCAGGTCTGGTGAGGACCTCAATTAGGAGTTAGGCTGATAGTCCAGTTAATCCAATATTTTCCATCTTGTGTTTTATCTCTCCAGAAGCTGGATCAGGCCTGCCTGGACCCCAGGCACAAGGAATTGGTAGAACATTTGCAAAGCACTCTTGCCGTCCTAGAAGGAGCAATTGAACGGGCAATGGGCGCAGCGGAGAAATTAGGAGCTGTCCATCAGGTCAATTACAATGGCAAATGACTGTGGGCTCTTCACAATTGTGTCTTTTTGCCAGTGTAGAACTTAAATTCACACTATCGGTTGTTTTAAAGATTTACCATAGGCATGAGGAATCCCATTTAGCCCTAGAGTCAATTTCCCTTCTAACCAACCTTCTTGGGGGCCACATGCCACAGCAAAAGTGGGCAGAACAATTGCTATAAATTTTACCTTTGTACAAGCAGGCTAATTTCTGCAAACACTTGCACACCCCCAGACCCTTCATCCAGGCAAGTAAGAGGTGTTTTTCGGAGTTCAAGGACACATTCCAGCCAGGCAAAAACACTAAGGAGAGTGGGAAGCAGGACTCATGAGGGATGTGACTAAGGAGGGAGTCTGGCCTGTGGAGAATTCTGAGGGCCAAATTGCGTTTGGCTTCTGGGCCTGAGCTCCGCCAACTTACTGTATCAAGATCTTGAAGCTTTTATTAAAAGGACTCTTGTTGTTCTTTCGAGAGCTGATACAGCACAAGTGAATGTGCTCTGGAGGACCAGGAATCCCCCAGTTTAATCTGCTATTAACTCTTAGGTTATTAACTCTATAGGCAATCCATCACCTCTCACCCAAGTACCTCCATGGCCAATGTGCAATACAGAAATAAGTAAACACGCAGCAATATCTCCAGGCCCCTTCCCAAGAGGATTGTGCTGGCTTTTGGTCTCTGAGCTACCTTGCCCACTGCTTTGCTTTGAACCACCCCTTGCCATCTCTCCCACAGGAGGCCCGCATGAGCCGGGCTGCAGAGGTGATGGCAGCACGTCGAGAACCTGAAAAGGCACCACCTGAGAGAGCACACGGAGCTGGAGGAGATGAAGAGGCTCATTCAGCAGAACTCGCGTAACCGGCAGCTGGCAGAAAACAGGGGTGAGGTGGGGCCCGCTTTCGTGCAAAGAGTGGCTGTGCGGTGCCTTGAGATATAACATAATGTGAAAAAATGCTGAGAAAAAATGGACAGAGGGCAGGGAAAGTTCATAATTTATTTACGAGACCATTGTTAGCAGGTTAAAACATTAGGAGGATTTTAAACACACTTGTAAAGTAATGGAAAGTATGGATTATTTGGAAGGATAAAAATTTGGATAAGTGTTGATATGCAGTTGTAAATATTACATTAGGACCCATGGAAGAAATGGGGAGAAGTCAGGAGATTCAAAGTAATTTTGATAGTTAGATCTTGAATTGTTTTTTGTTGTATGTTTACATTTTTAAGAAATCAAACTAATATATATATAATAAAACCACAACAACAAATAATTGCTGGTAGGTGAGGGTGTGTGTGCAGTTCCACCCATCCTTGAGTGAGAGTCTTGGTGGAGCACAGCAAGCTGGGTGAGAGCCAGATTGCTTGGAGGAACAGTCCATCTGTGTGACTGATGGGTGGCTGTTTGTATTGTTATTTACATTGTTCTGTCCATGAATGGCTTCATTGTCTCCTTGGCTTTTTCTATTCATTTTGTTGAGTGGAAGGAGAGACTGGTGTTAGCGGTTGGTGACTGAATGGGAGACATTAGAATGATTGGGTGGATGATGTGTTTGTGTGTATTGGTGGGAGCAAAATGGGACAAGTGATACTGAATGAGTAATAGGTATTTATGATTTGTGCAGATGTCAGGCAGAAATTGAGTCTCACATGTAGTATTTTGCAAGTCAGGGTGTGCCTTGGTGAAAGGCAGGCTGGAGATGGAAGGAATCACTGACTCTAAAGATGTTTTTAAATGTCTTTAGTTTTAGTGATTTTATTGTTTTATTGCATTGCATTGCAGTTTCGCAGTTTCATTGTTTGTTATATATATCATATTTATTGTTTTGTAAATCACTTAGAGACTGATTTCAGTATTAAGCAGAATACAAATATTATATAATGCACAATGTTTCCAGTATGGCTGATGCTCTGACTAACCACCTGCTGCCCTTGGTGGGGAACATCCGGCACTCATCTCAAGTTGTCCATAGAGCAAGTATTAAGTTGATCAGCAGCTCATTGCACACAGTTGGTAAATCTCTACATTCATAACTGCTGATCATTCGCAATCCATTTGCAGCACATTCCAAGGGCCTTGCTAGAAAGAATAGCATGGGAAAATACACTGTTCCCAATAGTCACATTTCCCCAATAGTTAAATCACACTTTATTATTGCTGGGAAGGTGCAATACTTTCTTCAGCTATCAGGGCATGTCTTGAACAATTATGACATTGAGTATGTGCCTGGAAGATGGATTCTCAAGACTCCACAGGCACCTGCTTGATGGTCATGACGACACCAATAACAATGGACCTCCCAAAGTCTTACTATCTCCACCCAGTGCCCAGCCTGAATGTGTAGACATTAGGCTAGAAACATGGCGCTCCAACTGAAGTTGACTGACCAGTCTCCAGGCACAGCCTTGAAGTGCTTCTTATCAGTTTAACTCTCACACAGAGATGTATACACAACTGGCAACCTGATTTCCCCTTCTTCCCCCCCCCGCCCCCACCGACTGGCTGTTGAGGTGAAACTGAGCCAGTGTGGTATAGTGGTTAAGAGCGGTAGTCTTGTAATCTGGTGAACCTGGTTCGCGTCTCTGCTCCTCCACATGCAGCTGCTGGGTAACCTTGGGCCAGTCACACTTCCTTGAAGTCTCTCAGCCCCACTCACCTCACTGTTTGTTGTGGGGGAGGAAGGGAAAGGAGAATGCTAGCCACTTTGAGACTCCTGAAGGGGAGTGATAAACTGGGATATCAAATCCAAACTCTTCTTCTCTTCAAAGAGCCTGAAAACTTCAGGAATACATTTGCATAAAATTATTAAAATATTTAAGCAAAATATAGATGCTTGTTTCTAGAACTGGCCTTCCTTTTCTCACAAGCCAGGCCATAAACATTTCCCCTAAAATGCTTTGTTTTTGCAATGGTGCTGGTGAGTTTCCTTTCCTTTTTTTTCTTTTTAAACCTATGCTTGCATTTGAATGCCAGCTGAGTTTCCTGAGAGTCATTGGCTATGTTTTGACCTGCCCCCTTTCTTGGCAGGCAGCTTTTGCACACTTGGCTCTTGCCTTCCGCTGTGACGTGTTCACGCTGAGGCGGCGAGTGCAGGTGGAAGAGCGAGCGAGGAACACAGCTGAGGAGAATATTCAGCATGAGCTTAGGGAATGCCGGGCGATGCTGCAGGTCAGTGAAGCCATGTCCCAAGAACCCTTGGCCATTTGGACCATTCGTTTGCTGCATTCCTCTTAAAGCATTGTGACTAAATTTGGCACAAAGTTTCCTGAAATCTTGGTGTTTTGATGCAGTTGGGTGCCATTTTGAATCAAGATGGTGGACTGAACCTTTCAAAGCCGCACTGATTATTTGGTTTCTTAGAATTCTCAAGCAATGCCAGGTATGAGGCTGCTAGTCTGTTGCAAGGTACAAACAGGATCACTGTTGGCTATAAGCACTTTAGGGGATGTGGTGCTTTTTCTTGCTTGTGTCGTACTGTCTTTCATCTATACAGTACACAGGACATAGTCCAGTGAGTGGTGCTGTCTTCTCCCCTTTACTGATTCACATGGTCACCATATACCTCTTTTCTCATCATTTTTAAGTGGGTGTCCCTCACCATCATTTTTGCACCCCATTTAGTGTGTCATTTAAAAATTATGTTACTTGCACTATTCCACCATGGTGCAATTGCAGAAATCTGAAAACTGCAAAGTTATTTCCGAATATGGTTGGGTGATAGCTGTTGGTAAGCAGCCTAAGTTAATTGCACTTAGTTTCATTTAAATAAATGAGACTTGAGTAATGATTAACTTGATCCCATGGAGTAATGATTGGGCCTAATTTCAACTATCTTCATTTTGATCCAGCTCTTCACAGAATATCACAGATATTCACAGAATATGAGGTGCTGCTGGAGGGGGGGAGTTTGACAGATTCCCCCTAAAGACCTCATGGCCACCTCTCCACACTATTTTGGAGGTCCCCCTATCCTCCAGAGCCATTTTTTTCCAGGGGGAAACAACGAAGAGGGGGAATCAGCAAAAATCACCTCCCTCTGCTTCCTCCAGCTGGAGGAACTGTAAACCCTGTAAACAGAGTTCTGCTCATGGGAACTGTGGATCCAAGCAATTGTCTAAACCAAACCTGATTAAACTGCTGGTGAAAATGTCTAATGCGTAAGTAATGATCCATTGCTTGGGACTGCCTTTTTATCAGGTCTGGTGAGAAACCTCAATTAGGAGTTAGGCTGATAGTCCAGTTAATCCAATATTTTCCATCTTGTGTTTTATCTCTCTAGAAGCTGGATCAGGCCTGCCTGGACCCCAGGCACAAGGAATTGGTAGAACATTTGCAAAGCACTCTTGCCGTCCTAGAAGGAGCAATTGAACGGGCAACGGGCGCAGCGGAGAAATTAGGAGCTGTCCATCAGGTCAATTACAATGGCAAATGACTGTGGGCTCTTCTACAAATGTGTCTTTTTGCCAGTGTAGAACTTAAATTCACACTATCGGTTGTTTTAAAGATTTACCATAGGCATGAGGAATCCCATTTAGCCCCAGAGTCAATTTCCCTTCTAACCAACCTTCTTGGGGGCCACATGCCACAGCAAAAGTGGGCAGAACAATTGCTATAAATTTTACCTTTGTACAACAGGCTAATTTCTGCAAACACTTGCACACCCCCACAACCCTTCATCCAGACAAGTAAGAGGTGTTTTCGGAGTTCAAGGACACATTCCAGCCAGGCAAAAACACTCTAGGAGAGTGGGAAGCAGGACTCATGAGGGATGTGACTAAGGAGGGAGTCTGGCCTGTGGAGAATTCTGAGGGCCAGATTGCATTTGGCTTCTGGGCCTGAGCTCCGCCAACTTACTGTATTGAGATCTTGAAGCTCATTTATTAAAAGGACTCTTGTTGTTTTCTTTCAAGAGCTGATACAGCACAATGGCAAAGAGAATGTGCTCTGGAGGACCAGGAATTCCTCAGTTTAATCTGCTATTAACTCTATAGGTTATTAACTCTATAGGCAATCCATCACCTCTCACCCAAAGTACCTCCATGGCCAATCTGCAATACAGAAATAAGTAAACACGCAGCAATATCTCCAGGCCCCTTCCCAAGAGGATTGTGCTGGCTTTTGGTCTCTGAGCTACCTTGCCCCACTGCTTTGCTTTGAACCACCCCTTGCCATCTCTCCCACAGGAGGCCCGCATGAGCCGGGCTGCAGAGGTGATGGTGCAGCACGTCGAGAACCTGAAAAGGCACCACCTGAGAGAGCACACGGAGCTGGAGGAGATGAAGAGGCTCATTCAGCAGAACTCGCGTAACCGGCAGCTGGCAGAAAACAGGGGTGAGGTGGGGCCCGCTTTCGTGCAAAGGGTGGCTGTGCGGTGCCTTGAGATGTAAACATAATGTGAACAAATGCTGATGTGTGGACAGAAGGGGCATTGGTGGGAATAAGATACCAGGCGCTGGAGTCAGTTCTCAGGAGCAAGTTGCATGGGGCTTTTTTGGGTGTTGAAATGGATTGTAGATAACAGCACACTGGTGAAAAGCCAACACTTGCAGTGCATCAGTTCAGTTGAACTGCAAATTCATGAGAGGTGATTCTCGAGAAACAAAGCCAGCTCTTTGCTACTGCTGCCACTCTCCTCATAACCCCAACAGGGCTGGGGTTGCATCACATGTACCAGTGAAGCCCTTTGAACTGACTTGAAGCTTCATTCAGCTGCCAGTAGAAGAAGCTGCCTTATACTGAATCAAAACCATTGGTCCATCCAGCTCAGTATCCTCTACGCCAACTGGCAGCATCTCCCCAGGGTTTCAGCTCAAGGTTTCTTCCAGCCTGCCCTGCAGATGCCAGGGAATGCACCTCAGACCGTCTGCATGCAGGTGCTCCTATCCTATAGGGAAAATATGGGTGGGAAGTCTTCATACTTGACAGATATACTTTATTTTTTTGACTAAGACCTCTCCCCAAAAGATCTACCAACCAGAACTTGGAGCAAAAGCCATATAGAACAGGGTACCTCTGTGTACATTATGAGCCTAGGAATTTGTTTTCAGTACCTCACAGTCCTGTCAAAAAAGTACCGTATTTTTTGCACCATAACACTCACTTTTTTCCTCCTAGAAAGTAAGGGGAAATGTCTGTGCGTGTTATGGAGCGAATGCCTACGGATGGCGGGGGGATCTGCTGCAGTCATTAGCAGAGGATCCATGCTTCCCTTCCTTCCCTCCTCCGTGGCTCGCTTTGAAACAGCAAAGCGGGAGAAGAGCTGCTGAGTGGGGAGGAGAGAGGGACAGAGAGCCTGCTTGCTTTAAAGGAGCAAAGCGGGAGAGGAGAGGAGCCTTCTCCTCTTATACCCCTCTTCTGCATTATTAACAGCATCCTTCTCCACCCACCCCATGCGTGGTCCTTGTCCCTTGAGTGCTTTTCTTTCCCTCCCCACTTAAAACGTGGTTACAAAGCACGGATCCACATGGATCCTCAGGATTTTTGCATTGGGCTACCCCAAACTCACCGTCAGATCACATGTCGGTGGCCACAGCATGAACCACAAAAATCATACATCCACTGTTTCATTTAGAATATTTTTTTTCTTGTTTTCCTCCTCTAAAAACTATGTGCATGTTATGGTCGGGTGTGTGTTATAGAGTGAAAAATACGGTACTTTCCTAGTTGCTCTTTCTGTACTTCAGCACTCTAATTTACTGCCGGCTTTTTGTTGTTGTTGTTGTTCAGAATATTTTCCATTATATTATGAAATCATAAATTATCCATATTAACCACAAATTATCCAAGTTATTGCAGATTATCTGCAAGTTGCTACTAAATTCCAATCTACCTTCTGCTCAGGTGTGCTCTAGAGCAGTGTTCCCCAACCTTGGGCCTCCAGCTGTTTTTGGACTACAACTCCCATCATCCCTCGCTAGCAAGACCAGTGGTCAAGGATGATGGGAATTGTAGTCCAAAAACAGATGGAGGCCCAAGGTTGGGGTACACTGCTCTAGAGCATAAAGCAGTTCAAGACAGATGCAGTGATTGCCTTTATGAACATGGGCCATTGGTCCATTGACCTCAATATTGTCTACACTGACCAGCAGCATCTCTCCAGGGTTTCAAACTGGAGACTTCCCCAGCCCTACCTGGAGATGCCAAGGGCAGAACCTGGTGACAAAGCATGTGCCGTTCCACTGAGCTACAGCCCTTCCCCTGTTTTTGTCTCCCTAGACGATAGTGAGCAGAGACTGAAGCATCCTCCATTGCGAATGTTCCAGCAGGTAAAGTGGCAGGGTGGGGGGACTGTGTGCAGCTCCTCATATGTTTCATGGAGCACAGGACCTGTGCTGCTGCTGCTGCTTTCCCTGAGATCATGCCAGAAGACAAATGGGTCACTTTGGCCCTTCAAGTATTGTTCAGTTCCATGAATGGCTCCTTTTACAAATGAGCTCTTGAGCTGCTAAAGGGACATCCAGTGGATGGGGGAGAAATCCATTCAAAACCAGGAGGCTTTCAGTACAGGTGACCCAATATGTTAGTTATTTTAATGATACTACATGTTAATAAAATAAAATGTAACAGAATCAAATGTTTTTAAATGCCTGCTGCTTGTTTCAGTTTCCTTGCACTCATTGACTTAATGTAGCACAATTGGCTTCCTTGTTCCTGAGCAACTGGGTATAATATTACCTGCAGACTTTCCCGTATATTCCATAACCCAACATACCACAAGTCTCTTTAATGAAAGCTGAACATTCAGGGAATATGCATTCTTCACAAGCCTCCCTGTAACTACTGCTCTGCTAATTAGGATTGTTCTTCTGTGTCCCAGGGATCAGCTCGTCGTAGAGTCAGCATTGCAGTGATTCCCAGACAGCTGATGGTAAGGAAGCCCTCCCTCTATGATGAGCTTTTTGCAATGAAGGATATGCCTGATCTTTGTTGCTTGCTGGTTTGCAGTGCACCAAAACACAGTGACGTCCCACATTCCAACTGAATTGCCCGTTATGCATTGCACATGTGCCTAATTCCACCTGGGCACATTCTGGAATTCCTCCATGAGTTTATTCAAATCTAAGTTGAGATCATTTTTGTATTGCCTGAAGCTGGAAAAGCAAGCTTTTACTAAGCCATGTTTATTAAAGCTTACCAGTATTGAAGGCTGTGTAATTCCTAAGTGCCATTGCAATGCATGATGGGAAATGAATCTGTTCATTTCCGGTCTGTTCCAATTCCCAGCATGCACCTTTAGGCCTGAAAGTGACCTGAAAACATGTTGGTAGTGATGATCTGGTAATTGTGTTCTTATTATCAGTTTGTTGTTTTACATTGGTATGCGTCAATCCCATTCATTTTTTGGACATTGTTGCCACAGCACCACATTCAAGACCAGCCATGGGTTGCTCCAAGACGGGCAAGTTTATTGAACATGTGTCCTGATTTGTTTGCACAATATCTGCAAGAAAGCTATATGGCGCTGCCATCAAGTGGTAGTTATCCCACAGTTCCAGTGCTTTTCCCTGTCACTTTTCTTACTGCAAAGTTTTTGTTTTCGCACAAGAGCTCTGTATTGCAATGTGCCTACTTTCACGGGGGTGAGTTATGAAGGTGTTTTTTATTCCATGAAAGACATACGCTGGCACCCACTTGAATGGGTGAGAGGTCAGTGCGAAAGTGCTGACAGTCTGGAAGCGAACTTAGCTATAAGGATCCCAAGTTCTGTTCCAGATGCAATATATGGTATTCTAACAAGCCTGGGGCAACAGGACACTATGCAGGAGTGGTGCCTTCTCTCCTGTTGCTGCAAGTTTGCCTATTCTCCTTATCCACTGGCTGTGAAGCTGAACTGGAAGGCCTTCTTTACATTATCTTCTTAGGATTAAGCAAAACTGCTATCCACAAAGGAACTAGCGTCAACAAAAGGGACTGGCTGGCAAAAATGAGAGAGAAGTAACTGCACATCATGCTTTTGTCTGCTTTCAGTGTCCATGTGAGTTCACGTGACTCACTTTTATCTGACTCTTTACTTCATGCGGCTTTTTGTTTTCATTAAAGTTAACAATCACTGGCAAAACTGCTTTGTGCCAGCCTCTGAGGCTTCTAGTGAGCTATGAATTCCTAGCAGCACTGTTAACCACAGGGAATCAGCAGCCATGAGTCATCCCCACACCCTCCTCCTCAGATCCTGGGATTCAGAATGCCACATTTGGAATTCCCTTTAGTTACTCAAGTTTTCAGGCTTTGAGGGCTAAGAGACTCTGACTGCCAGTATTTTGTGGGAGGGATTTTGAGTGCAAACTGGGAAATTATAGTTTCCACAATTAAAGTGGATTAAAGTGCTCTCACTCTAGTGTGGTAAATCCAGTTATAATTTTGCTGTTAGGAACGTGATGAGGAAATTAACTGAAAAGTGTGGAGTGAATAAATAATTAACAGGAAAGATGTGTAAACACCCTGCAGGAAAACCAGGATGGATGCTCATTGTTTTATAACCACCCTGCAAACAAATCAGGACAAATGCTCAATAAATATTGGATATAATTTAATCCCTGTGTAAGCTTTGTACCAAGAGACCAGGGTTCAAATCCCTGCTGAACTTAACAGGTGAACTTGGGCCAGTGACAACGTCTCCGTCTAACCTACCTCACAGGGTTGCTGTGAGGGCAAAATTGGGGTGTGGGGTGTGTGAGAACCATGTACGCCACCAGGAGCTCCTTGCAGGAATGGTGGAATGTAAGGAAATAAAAATTCCCCAAAATAGAATAAATAGGTTATCTGGAAAAGCTCTTAGTACTACCAAATCAAACCTGTATTTCTCAGAATAGTGCAGTTACAAAAGGCTCATGCTCCATTATTCTGTTGATCCAGTTTTTTATGCTTGTTCTTTTTGAATTTTGTCACTTTCGTCCAAGGAGCCCCCCCTTTCTAGTCCCAAAAGAGATGATGCAAGTGGCTTAAGGCTTCCCAGTCTCTCTTCATCTTTTGATCACAATCTCCTTGATTCTTATTGCAGCACTTTCACAACCCTGAAAATGAGCAGAGCTCTGAGGGGGAAGCAATTAAGTCAACTGCAGTGGAGGAGGAGGAGGAGGTGGAGGAGGAGGAGGAGAACCCAGACAGGTAGGGATGGGTTGATGCAAGAGGCAAAGCTTGATTCAAGTGTGCAGAATAGTCTTGCTTGGTCCTTGGCATGTCCAGTGTGGTTATCTATCATTTCCTCCCCACAGGCAACCCCACAGTCTCCAGGAAGACTCTGCGGACAATTACTTTCTCCTGCATGCAGCATCTCCCAGCTTCTCCCAGCAGAGCATGGCAGGGACATCCAGAATCGAGTATGATGTATTATTATTATTTATTAATTTTGTGTAACACTTTTCATCTGAAGATCACAGGGCGGTTCACAATAAAATGCAAAATGTGAACACAAAATATGTAATAAAACAAGTACAGTGGACGCTTGGGTTGCGACCGTGATCCGTGCAGGATGCACATTCGCAACCCGCAGCGTTCGCAACCCGCAGCGGTGCATCTGCACATGCACGGGTTACGATTAGGCACTTCTGCACATGCGCAAAGTGCAATTTAGCGCTTCTGCGCATGTGCTACCCCCGAAACCCAGAAGTAACCCGTTCCGGTACTTCCGGATTTCGGCAGGTCTGTAACTCAAAAAAACGCAACCTGAAGTGTCTGTAACCCGAGGTATGACTGTACAAAACAAAACCACTAACCCCCCCCCCCAACAAACACATTTAAAAGGCAATAGGATGCCTGGTTGTAGACAAATGTTTTCACCTGGTGCCTAAGATATGTAATGAAGGCACTAGGCAAGCCTCTCTGGGGAGAGCATTCTACAAACAGGGAGCCACCGCAGAAAAGGCCCGTTCTTGTGTTGCTGCCCTCTGGGCTTCTTGTGGAGGAGGCGCACGAAGAAGGGCCTCACATGTTGTAGACAGAAGCCACTACACAGAAGGGAAAGCAGTGTGATCTCTCTGCCTCCTGGAGGGAGAACCTGCCCTCTTTAAATGAGAGCAGACATCTGAGTGAAGACATCAAACTATGAACTGAGACCCAGGGTTTGTTTCCCAGATAATACGTTTTGGCTATGCACTGTGCAGCAGGCATTTTGCTGCAAGTGCATTGCTGGTTTCTGCAGCCAACAGGCCCATGTTTTAAAATACACACACCTGGGAGCTCCCAGGACATGTACACAGGTGCTGTGAGGATGCCACTTATCAATCACACTCCACTTTATTTGATGAGAGAAACACCAGTATGCCTGGGTATTGCCATGTAAAGTGAAGCTGTTCTTTGTGCCAGGGGACATGCAATTAGTCTCTCTCTGTATCAGGGCCCATCTCCAAAATGGCTCTCGGTCTTCTTTAATTACCTCCTTGGGAGGACAAATATATTTTAGGCTGAGTCAATCTGCTGTTGCAAAGATGGGAGCCCAAAGAAGCTCCTTGAGTGATAGAGAGACTCCATTTCTCTGAAGTTTCATCCAGCATTACCAGAAATGTACTCCATTGCTGGCTGAGCTGTGAGCCTCTTTTTCTGGGGTGAGTTGACCACTGCAGGATCCACACTGTCTTTCTTCTCAGGAGGGAGTCAGAACTTCGGTGCAGAAGCAACATCAGTAAGACTGTAGAGGAAGAACCCAAAGAGGAATCGGGCAATGAGGAACTAAATGAAGAATGTGAGGAACTGAGGGGAGAGACACTTCTGTAAGTGAACAATGCTTTCTATGCTTGCCATTCATAGGATTGTTCTAGCCCTTCTCCACATGGGAAGTTTTCTTCGCAGTCTGAACAGAACTTTCTGTAATCCACAGTTTTGATTGCCATGTCTCAAAAAAGCAAAAGCAAAAAAAAAAAAAAAAAAGGATATTGTAGAGCTAGGAAAGGTGTTCTATTGAACTTGGGGTGTTCTATTGAAACAGATTGGCCAGAGATTTGGAGCGAGACAAAGGGACATACTCTTCCTCACATCACAAAATTAATTTATGGAATTTGTTGCCACTGGATGTGGTCATGGCCCCTCTCTTAGGTGGGTTTAAAAGGGGGATGAGACACATTTATGGGTGAGAAATTCTATTAGTGGCTACTAGTCATGAGGAGAAGATTCAGAAGCAGCATTGCCACAAAATGCCAGCTGCTGGGAGTAATCTCAGGAATGGGCTTCTGTCTTCATGTGCTGCTTGTGGACTTCACTGAGGTATTTGGGTTGGCTACTGTGGGGAAACAGGATTCTAGTTTGGGTGGATCTAGCAGGCCTGTTCTGATGTATTTTCATTTCTGGGAATTCAGCATTCTGTGAGGAACTCAGGGTCCTATTTTCGTAAAAGAAATGTAAAATGTTAAGCCTTTATGACCATGGAATTAATAAACGACATCAAATCATACAAAAATGTGTGTAAATGTGCAAATTCAGTATAGCTTGCAGAATTCAGCTGTTTCAGGAGGGATGTATAAATAATTTGTGTTTATACATTTTACATTTTACAGAATTTAGTGTTTCCTTAGTGTTCTTAAAAGTACACTAATTTTTATGAAGGCTACAAATAATGGAAGCCAGAGCTTACTGGGCCTAGCTTATGGCAGGGCATCAGACTGATAGTTGACTGATTGCACCAGGTGATTATTTTCTCTCTTTTTTCCTGGCAGGTGCAAAGGATCTAAAATGGAGCTTTGCAGAGCCTGGTTCTCCATGCCCACCTACTATTGGGTTTTGTTGTGGCTGTTTTTTCTGGGGGTTGCTTGCCTCATTCTGATCAGGATCCTGGAGCTGCAGAAACAATACCCATTTACAACCTCTGATTCTTAAAGTCACATAAGGAGCAGAATAACCATGCTAGGACTTTGCACCATCAAAATCCTGGACAGTTTACTTCTGAAAAATAAAAATAGAAAGGAGGCCTTGTTTTCATGTGTGACCAGTGAACACTGCGTGGGATGTGGTTCTAACAGGCTGGCTGGTGCGAAAAGAGCTGGAGAAGGTTTGCAGGCAGGACTTCATCTGAATCCGAGAGGTGATTTTGGCTGCTACTACTCCATTGGTGGCCTCAGCATAAGCCCAACAAGCCTAACAGTTGTCTAATAGAGATAATTCTTGCAACTCTGCAAAGAACTCCAGCTAAGACATTTCTTCTATCTTTGGAGGTTAAATATCCTTCAGAGTCCCTGTGAAGTGGCAGGTATATTAGAACATTAGGTTTGTATAGCGTTGTTCACACTGAGGTTCACCAGAGAGCAGTTTGGGACTACAGTGGTACCTCGGGTTAAGTATTTAATTCGTTCCGGAGGTCCGTTCTTAACCTGAAACTGTTCTTAACCTGAAGCACCACTTTAGCTAATGGGGCCTCCTGCTGCTGCCGCACCGCCAGAGCACAATTTCTGTTCTCATCCTGAAGCAAAGTTCTTAACCTGAAGCACTATTTCTGGGTTAGCGGAGTATGTAACCTGAAGCATATGTAACCCGAGGTACCACTGTATAGGGCTCTGACCTCCTTTGTATCTTGCTACTTCATTTTAGCGCTGCTCAGTTGAAAAGGAATCTCATATTCACGGCCTGGCTTGTGAGTAACCCTAAGCCAAGCCATTGCTAAGTATGAATGAGAAGTTGTGCAGGTGCACCGTTAGAAAATTGCTTCACTCAGGGCTGCTGACAGCAGGGTATTGGGGGTATGCATGTACCAGGCCCCAAGCCAGCAGGGACCACAGATTTTTAATTTTCACTTTTTAAAAAACATGACTTTGGCCCTCAACAGACGGCACCATTGCTCAGGAGGCTTGTTCGCTTAATCACTGTTGCTAAGTGACCGGAGGAAGAAGGTTGACAACCCTCACCAGGAAAAACAAGCTCCTTATTGCTGCTACCGCTGGCATGAAACGCTACTCCAAACCATGGCTTCTCTGTCAGTTGTGCAGCAGCAGCAGCAGCAGCAGCAGGAGGAAGCAGCAAAGTGCACTCGCATGCTTGCTTGTTCACTTAGTTCATGGTTAGGCTAACCATTATATGCAAACAAGGCACGTCAGCAGTTTTCCTGCCCTTTGTTTAAAAGGTTGCCCTCAGGTTTTGTTTGCATTGCAGCAGCAGCATGGTAGAAGCACATCATTGCAAACATCGCTCTACGAGGCCACAAAACGTTTTTAAAGAATCCGTAGTGAACTTGGATCATTTTAGCCTCCAGATGGCCTTACCGGGGGACCCTCCTTAGATGAGGTGTATTACGTCAAAGTGTGATAAAACGACCCTGTTGTGTTTGGGGAGCCCTCCTGCTCCTTCTGCTGTGAGTGGGGCTCTGAACGTCTGCTCCTGAATGTACCCAGACGTGAACACGGAAAAGGATTTGTTGTATCGTGACAGCTGCTGCGCGGTCGTAGTGCATACAGATGGGTTGATGTGTGGCGCAGCATTTCTCTCCGCCAGCAGGTGGTGCCGATGCCCACTCAGTGCAGCTGAAGGGCATTGCTATGAGAAAGGGTATTAACTTCCTCATTCACTACTACAGTGGTACCTCGGGTTAAGTACTGTACTTAATTCGTTCCAGAGGTCCGTTCTTAACCTGAAACTGTTGTTAACCTGAAGCACCACTTTAGCTAATGAGGCCTCCTGCTGCTGCCGCGCCGCCAGAGCACGATTTCTGTTCTCATCCTGAAGCAAAGTTCTTAACCTGAAGCACTATTTCTGGGTTAGCGGAGTCTGTAACCTGAAGCATATGTAACCTGAAGTGTATGTAACCCGAGGTACCACTGTACAATCCTAATCGTAATTATTTGGGAGTGTGCCCCATTGAATTCAGTGGGACGATCTTCTGAGTAAGGATGTAGACGGCTGGTCTGCAAGAAGGAAAGGAGAAGAGGGCACCTCTCTTCTGCCCGATAAGTGCCATTGCGCCAATAAGGAAAAGACAATAAAATTGGATGGTGAAGAAAGTGTTCATCTTTTGTGAAGCACAGTGCCTCCCCCCACCCCCGTTTGAAAGTCAAAACAAAGCTGGAGGAACATGGGATGGAGGGGGGAAGTTGAAAGAAGGATACAAGGCAACCCTGTAAGAAGTCGTTTAATGTGACAGGTGCTATTTACCTCAGGAAAGGATGCATGCAGAGGACAGGAAGAAACTCCAGAGAGAGTCAACATGACCTTTCAGCAGCATTGACATGTGTCTCTCCCGCAAACACAACACACCTTCCTTCAGTTGCAATCTGGGACCGTGGGTGGTGGAGGCTCAAAAGCATGACTGTTAGAGACACTCTCTCTCTCTCTCATTCTCTCTCTCTCTCTCTCTCACACACACACACACACACACACACACTATCAACAATGCTCACCAAGTTTTGTATACAGAGGGAATGATTATTACTCCACCCAGAACAGTCCCGTGCCCAAAGGTTGTGTGCCTCTTAGGAAACTCCTCCAACCAGCTCAGTACTGTCTACACTGACTGGCAGCAGCTTTCCAGGGTTTTCGTACAGGGAACATCCCCAGCCCTACCAGGAGAGAAGCTTGGACCTTCTGCATACTAAGCAGATGCTTTTACCAGAGCTAAAGGTAAAGGGACCCCTGACCGTTAGGTCCAGTCGTGGCAGACTCTGGGTTGCGGCGCTCATCTCGCTTTACTGCCGAGGGAAGCCGGCGTACAGCTTCCGGGTCATGTGGCCAGCATGACCAAGCCACTTCTGGCGAACCAGAGGCAGCCGCACGGAAATGCCATTTACCTTTCCCGCCGGAGTGGTACCTATTTATCTTACTTGCACTTTGACATGCTTTTGAACTGCTAGGTTGGCAGGAGCAGGGACCGAGCAACGGGAGCTCACCCCGTCACGGGGATTCGAACCGCCGACCTTCTGATCGGGCAAGTCCTAGGCTCTGTGGTTTACCCACAGCGCCACCTGCGTCCCACTTAGTTGAACATAGAAGACAACAATTTTATAATAAGTTCATGGGACATCCAGAAATTATAAAACAATGCAGCTGCATAATCATGCTACTGAATATAGCTACTGAATCCTGTTGAGACATGAGGGAGAGACACTTCTAAGTGAACAATGCTTCCTAATGCTTCCATTCATAGAATGTTCTAGAACCCTCTCCACATGGAAGTTTTCTTCGCCCACAGTCTGAACAGAACATTCTGTAATCCACAGTTTATATTGCCATGTCTCAAAAAACCAAAAACAAGCAAAAAAAAAAAAACAAAAAAGATATTGTAGAGCTAGGAAAGAGTTCATTAAACTTGGGCGTTTCTATGAAACAGAGGCCAGCAGATTGGAGCGAGACAAGGGACATACTCTTCCCACATCACAAAATAATTAATGGAATTTGTTCCACTGGATGGTCATGGACCCCTCTCCTTAGTGGTTTAAAAGGCGGATAGACAACATTCATATGGTGAAAACTTCTATTAAGTGGCTACTAGTCAGACGAGAAGATCAGAAGCAGCATGCCACCAAAATGCCAGCTGCTGGGAGTAATTCAGGAATGGGCTCTGTCTTCAATCGTGCTGCTGTGGACTCTCAACCTGAGTATTTGGGTTGGCTACTGTAGGGAAAACAGGATTCTAGTTTGGGTGGATCTAGCCAGCCTGTCTCTATGATTCATTTCTGGAATTCAGCCATTCTTAGAACTCAAGGGTCCTATTTCGTAAAAGAAAATGTAAAATGTAAAAAGCCTATGACCCATGGAATTAAAAAACGAACACAACCAACAAAAATTGTCGTAAAGGCAAATCAGTATAGCTGCAGAATTCACTGTTTCAGAGGGAGTATAAATAAATTGGTTATACTACATTTACATTTACAGAATTTAGTTGATTCCTAGTGTTCTAAAAGTCACACTAAGTTATGAAGGCACAAATAAGGAAGCCAGAGCTTACTGGCAGCTATTGGCAGGCAATCAGACTGATAGTTCACTGACACGCACCAGGTGAATTATTTCTCCTCTTTTTCCGCAGGTGCAAAGGATCTAAAATGAGCTTGCAGAGCCTGGTTCTCACAATGCCACACTACCTATGGGTTTTGTTGTGGCTGTTTTTCTGGGTTGCTTCCTCATTCTGATCAGATCCATGGAGCTGCAACAACAATACCCATTTACAACCTCTGAATTCTAAAAGTCACATAAGGACAGAATAACCATCTAGGACTCTTGCACCATCACAAATCCTGGACAGTTTACTTCTGAAAAATAAAAATAGAAAGAGGCCTTCGTTTCATGTTGACCAGTGAACACTGCGTCGGATGTTGGTTCTAACAGCTGCTGGTTGCGAAAAGAGCTGAGAAGTTCGACAGGCAGACTTCATCTAATCCGAGAGTATTTTGCTGCTACACCATTGTGGCCATCAAAGCATAAGCCCAAACAACCTACAACATGTCTAATAGAGATAATTCCTTGCAACTCTGCAAAGAACTCCAGCAAACATTCTTCTACTTTGGAGGTTAAAATCTCTCAGAAGTCCCTGTGAAGTGGCAGGAATCAAACAATTAGGTTTGTTGTATGCGTTGTCACACTGAGGTTCACACAGAGAGCCAGTTTGGGACTACAGTGGGTACCTCGGGGTTAAGTATTTAATTCGTCCGAAGGTCCGTTCTTAACCTTGAAAATTTCTTAACCTGAGCAGCCACTTTTAGTAATGGTGCCTCCTGCTGCTGCCGCACCGCCAGAGACAAATTTTCTGTTCTCATTCCTGAAGCAAAGTTCTTACTGAAGCACTATTTCTGTAGTTAGCGGGTAGGTACCTGAAGCATATCTGTAACCGAGGTACACGTATAAGGCTCTTTGGAATTCCCTTTAGTTACTCAAGTTTTCAGGCTTTGAGGGCTAAGAGACTCTGACTGCCAGTATTTGTGGGAGGGATTTTGAGTGCAAACTGGGAATTATAGTTTCCCACAATAAAGTGGATTAAAGTGCTCTCACTC